TGGTATGCAGATCTATCATGAATGAGATCTTCGAGTCTGTGGTGATGAGGCTCATACGGGAAATTACCCTCTGCCTCTAACTGAAGAACATTGAACATTGAACATTCTGCTATTTTGTCCAAATGGGCAACCAAAACCGGCGCACGAAAGTGCATGGCTAGTGGTTGTAAAAACTGAAACTGAAACGATTCACTCACCAAACATTGAATTGTTTCACTGCGATAGACAAGACTGTGATTACAAGTTATGAGACATTATGAGTTTAACATAGCGACTCAGGGGTCCTAAATGTAGACTGGTCAGTGAATGGATCGTTACAGAACGTTCTTAAACAGACGTTGATTATACCTTACGGCGCACAATGCACGAAGGCACATTGACACTATTTACTCATCACTATCGACTCAAACCCCAGAATTTCAGTATACCACACTGTAGTAGTTTGTGCATCTCTGTAAAATGTTATCTAATCGAGGCCAATCTGTTTTCGCCCCACAGCACGAACATTTAGAAGGTTAAACCAAAATGCCACATCAATTGCAAACAAAACTGCTCATTTGAAACCCCCACATGCATACTCCCCCCACCCACCCACTCGCGTGTGAATCCCGGAAACAAAAGCCTACTTGCATTTACCAAGGTTATTTATCGTACAGCGAAATACAGCGAAGCGAACTTCACTGATCGCTACCAAACTTGCAATGCATACAAGGTTAGTGGTGCTATGTAAGTTGGACAGGGACTGGACCTATTTTGAGGGAGGGGGAAGATGAGCCTCCATGGTGAACACAGAGTACACAATCTAAATGAGCATACATAACATTTCAAGCTTCTAGTGACAGCAAGATCGTCATAGGTTTCGTTTCGTAGCCATATACCACAATGTCTCCAACCAACCAATTGCGGAGTCTTTCGGACCACGATCTGAAAGACGCGAGATATCTATTCTACCTAATGACTTTGAACATTTCTTCATGCCTCGTCTCCATGTGGTTTCCTCCAGCCCGGAGCGGCTACAGCGAATATAACGCGGTGCGGCAGACGACCATGGTGAAGTATTATCGTTAACCAACCAATAATTGAATTTGACCACGCGACTATTACAAAGTCCTTTTCTGCTGTACACACACACACACACACACACACACATTGAACTCAGTTTGATCACAGGAAAAGCCAACAGACTATGATCAGATCGCTAACCGGGAGGAAGTGGATGCCCTGATTATAAACAATCCGGGCACAACCCCCATACAATCTGGTTAAAGGGTGTAAGTTAACTTGCGTGATGTGATACTATGGGCACGCTGAAACTACGAACCGCGCCGAAAGAACGCAAGATTAGCCGAAATCAAATCGCTTAGTGTGTGGGTGTTGGCGCGCACGCGCGACGAAATACTACATGGCACGTCAGATTTTGGCGGACGGGAAGCTTGCATTGCGGATTTTTAGGAAAATAACCTGATTAATTCAGCAAACCTGGCGGTATTGTAGCCAGATTACAAAGC